TGGTTGTATGCCTCATGGTAGGTAAGGGGAGCATGAGTTTACGTATATTGGACACTGCAATAACTGGAGTTTTTGGTTGTATGCCTCATAGTAGGTAAGTGAAGGAAGAGTTTACGTATATTGGACACTGTAATAACTGGAGTTCTTGGTTGTATGCGTCGTGGTAGGTAAGTGAAGCAAGAGTTTAGGTATATTGGACACTGTAATAACTGGAGTTTTTGGTTGTATGCCTCATGGTAAGTAAGTGAAGCAAGAGTTTACGTATATTGGACACTGTAATAACTTGAGTTTTTGGTTGCATGCCTCGTGGTAGGTAAGTGAAGCAAGAGTTTACGTATATTTGACACTGTAATAACTGGAGTTCTTGGTTGTATTCCTCATGGTAGGTAAGTGAAGCAAGAGTTTACTTATATTGGACACTGCAATAACTGGAGTTCTTGGTTGTATGCCTCGTGGTAAGTAAGTGAAGCAAGAGTTTACTTATATTGGACACTGCAATAACTGGAGTTCTTGGTTGTATGCCTCGTGGTAAGTAAGTGAAACAAGAGTTTACGTATATTGGACACTGCAATAACTGGAGTTCTTGGTTGTATGCCTCGTGGTAGGTAAGTGAAGCAAGAGTTAAGTATAATGGACACTGTAATAACTGGAGTTCTTGGTTGTATGCCTCGTGGTAGGTAAGTGAAGCAAGAGTTAAGTATAATGGACACTGTAATAACTGGAGTTCTTGGTTGTATGCCTCATGGTAGGTAAGTGAAGCAAGAGAATTGTTTCAGATTAAGATGGTACATAAATGTACATAAGAAATAGTTTTCTATTAACTGAAAAATGAAACAAATAAATACCAATTAAAACAAAACGAAGAAATATGATATATATATATATATTTGAATTTGATAATTATCAGTACAATGATACTGCAATGTTATAAAAAAATCTAAAACTTAATATCCACTATGACTGTTTTACCTTTAGTCTAACTGATCTGTAATTTACAAAGTTAAGCGTAATCAAGTGAGCAATAACTAGCACGTCAGTTCTCTTGCACCTGTTGTTAACAAGTAACAAAGGGTATGTGTCATCCCTTGTAGCAACATTCTGGCTTCACAGTCAATCCTTCACATCATAACCAAACCACTAGGAAGCAAGAATGTTACAACAACTCCCAGAGGAGTCAGCTACACCCTAGATCTGATGAACCACCAGAAATGTTACACTTTGTGGTCACATGATGATGATGATACTGACTGGTTTTTGAAACTAGTCCAAAATTTTCAAATTTTGAGTTTCTAACAACCAACTTAAAAGAAAAACAAAAACAAAAATCAGCACGTTCACTAAGGAAAAATTTGGCATACATATGCAACAGGGTCATTGATAGTTCTTGCATTTTAATCTTTCATAGAAGGAAGAGTACATTAAAGAATAATTCATATTTGGCATAACTGTGTCAAATTTTACTAACTAAAAGGTTTTTGTGGATTATCGATATGAACTAAACAAATGTTTAACAAAACGATACTTGATTTCTTTGTTTAAATGGGTGTAACGTTGTTTAATTATAATTTTTTTACGTGTTTCCCCTAAACTTAAATTGGCTGTTAAGGTTCAACTTAAATACTATTGCAGGGAGCATGATAATGTTAACTTAATTTTAATATAAATGATACAGTTTTCTTTGATAACTTTCTGACAAAGATTAGATTTTATTGCCAAATTCAAGAAACAGAAAAAAAAAAATCAAAAAGTGTACTTTGAACAGACTAGATATACTGTATGAATAACCATATAAAGTCAAAATATTAAAGAAGAAACTGACATTTTAAGATGTACGATATTCCTTAATTTACTCAAATTGAGACTAAGGAAACATTTAAAATTTTTTAAATAACATGCCAGTTACTTAAATGTTTCTTTCATTCAAATCTACAAAAAAATATCAGAATCAAGGGAATGATTGGTCATAAAATGAGCATTTGATTGGATAAACAGTACCATCTGAGTTACTAGGTATAAATGTCAAAGTTAAAATACTAAAGAAAGAAATGTGAAGCCCAATCTATCATTTGATTTACTGCCTGTCATCAAATTATAGAAGTTTCAGGTAATTCCACCCTTCATGAGTAACAGTGGACAAGTGAAAAAACAGACATAGGAATATAAAGAATAGGCAGCATTGATGTTACAACTTATTCTTAATTATTCTGCCAGAAAAGTTGTTTACAGGACTAAATAAAATAGATGTAAAGCCCAACCTATCATTTAATTTACAACTTGTCACTAAGTTATACCAGTTTTAAAAAATTCCACTGCACATCAGTAACCCTTGACAAGAGTAAAACAAAAGAAAAGAAGCCTAGTCCTATTCTCTCCTTTTACTGTTGGCCAGTGTTACTGATGAGGGATAAGTCAGCGTACTGTAGTACATTGAACGATAGATTGGGCTACAGACATTATTTTCATATCTCGTAAACTTATCTGGCTGAATAATTCACAAGAACTTATAAGCATCAATGTTCCATATTCTTGAAATTCTCATTCAAGTATACTATTAAGGTGTGAGTAAAAGACATTTCAAAACATCGTACAAGTTAATTTAGTTAGTATGACTAAAAGTAATTACCAAAAATTAAGAATGTGTTAATCTTAACAATACATGCAAAATAAATTCTCCTTAACTTTTTTTTTTGTTTCGTTTGTTTCAGTACAAACTACACAATAGATAATATGAACTCTGTCCACCAAGGGGAATTAAACCCCAGATTTTAAGGTTGCAAGTCTAAAGTTACCACTGAACCAACAGATGACCCAAGTTTAGTTAGTTGAAAAATAGTAAATTTGTAGTTATAGAAATTTTGAATGTGCACCAAAAAACTACACTTTGATTAGTCACACATTTTTTGAAATACCAGTATAGTTGTGTTCAATAGTTTACATCTTCTCTAAAAAATACATCTAAATGTTAAGAATCTATAGTTTGGAAAGTATCAAATTGAAATAGACATTTCACAGGTAGAAGAATTTTGTAACAAAATGAGAATAAAGGATATTAGTGTGTATTTTCTTAATATCTTAATTTTTTACTATAACCACATCTGTGAGGAGAGTAGTCTTGGGCTTGGTTTTGGTAACAGTTTTACTTTACTTTTAAACAAAAATTTGATTTTTTTTGCTTTGTTCAAGAGATTAAAAAAAAGAGTAAATCAAATGGCTGAAAAATATATATATATATTAAAACTGATTGAACACAAGTAACTATGTAACAGTTTATTATATTCACGATGATGATGATAATATACATTATAAGTAGGTTAATATCCTACAATGAAGAAATTGTTGTGCTTTCTTTGCACATCCCAGTTTATTCCACTAAGGGAACAAAACACACACACACACACACACACACTTAAAACAACTAATTTAGAATTAGCTTTTAAATCAATGCCATAGGATAAAGTACACTGCTGTTAAAACACTTCAGGCCTAAATTAATGCAAGTATACATACTAACCCCTTTCATGTTTCTATTATGAAATAATTCAATTTATGGATCAATACTTTATCTACCGTAATTTGTGAAAAAGGGGGTTTAATGCAACTGTACAAAGCAAATATAAAACATAGTACAGATCTTGGTCTCGTTCCTAAATTTTAATATGTTTTTCCTGAATGAAAATGATGGAAGTTACTTGTGTTCTGAGTAAAAGCATAAAATGTCAAACAGCATCACCTGCAAATTAAAGATATCCGCTTGTCAACAGTCTTTCCTGTATCAGACAAACACAATTTTGCTGCTAAACAGTCTAAGTTTGAAGGAAAAAAAATAAACCAAAAAAAACTCGTCTCTTCCAGCTCTTACATACTACTTTTCAACATCTAGTCATATTTTCTGCACTTTTTCTCCCACTACAAGAGGATTGTTTTTTCTGATTTCCTGTGCACCATGCTGCTTGTAGTCAAACGAACAGTTGTGCTCATTTACATATCTATGTACGCTACAAAAAAGCCCTCCACAACGACACTCAAACCCTAAAGCAAAAAAGAAAAAAAAAATGAGATTATGAATAATGAAATGAAAGGCTTTAACAAAAATAATACATTACTTAAAAAAACTGAAGATCATGACATTGAGCATTAGTTAAAAAATCACCAATATCATAAATCATTTGGTGAATTGATAATTATCAATCTATCATATTTATGATGCATTAACTGCCATTAATTTCTTGTCAAAGCATTCTACCTAAAGAGGAAATACAAAATTTTAGACTGGGATGTCCTTCCTCTGGTAATTTCAAACTTGGGGCTTATATTTCTAAGGTAGTTTCTTAACAAGTATAAACCCAAGTTTTGTAACGAGCAGAAAAATGTTCAAAGAAATCAATAAGCATGTTATTTATAAGCAAGATTCCTCAGTGCTGCATTGAAATGCAAACCACACTGAACGATATTAGAAAATGAAAGAAATATCGATTCTAAAATACTTTCGTGTGAAAAAAATTGTTGAAATAGTGTTTGATTTATTATTATTGTTATTTAAATTTTTGTAGCAGATATACTTACTACTGTTTTTTGTAAGTTGGCTAATGTTACTCTTCTTTTCAGGAGAGGTGATAAATGTTGTACCAATAATTATACATCAGGTATGGGAAAAGTTTTGGAAAGTCTGTTAAAAGATGCTTTACAAAGTCATTTAACAAAATTTAGAATATTATAAGATAGTGAACATGGTTTCACTAAGGGAAAATCTTGCTTACAAATCCTTTGAAAAGGTTACTGCTTATGTAGATGAGGGTAAGGGTGTAGATTTGGTGTATCTGGATTTTTATAAAGCATTCAACAAGGTGCAACATGGTTTCACTAAGGGAAAATCTTGCCTTGCAAATCTTTTGACACTGTTTGAAAAGCTTACTGCTTATGTAGATGAGGGTAAGGGTGTAGATTTGGTGTATCTGGATTTTCAGAAATCATCTGACAAGGTGCCATATAAAAGGATTGTAAAAATAAAAATATCTCTATAGGTGTGGGGGATAAGTTAGCTAACTGGATAGAAGAGTGGCTGGATGGAAGAAATCAGAGGGTTGTTACAAATGGAGTCCATTCAAACTGGATTAATGTCATCTCAGGGCTCAGTCGTAGAACATTTGCTCCTTTTGATTTACAGTAGTGACATAGATGAAGGAATGGTCAATAAATTACTTAAATTTGCTGATGATAGTAAAGTCTTGGGTGTTGAGGAGACTGCTGTTGCTTTACAAAAGAATTTGTATCATTTAGTGAGTTGGGCAAATAAATGGCAGATGGATTTTAATCATAATAAATGCAAGATAATGCATACAGGTTATCACAATTTGAATTATAAGTATCATTTGAATGGGAATAACCTTACAAGTGTTATGAAAGAAAGGGATCTTGGTGTAGTGGTTGATAAGTCTATAAAGCTGTTCAAACAGTGTGCTGTTGCTAGTGGTAGAGAAAATAGGGTTTTGAATACAAGTCTAGATAGGTTATAAACTCATTGTATAGGGCACTGATTTGGCCACATTTGGAGTGCTGTGTTCAGTCTTGGGCTCCTTACGTTAGGAAGGACATCTAATTGTTGGAAAGGGTTCAGAGGGAGGGCTACTAGAATGGTGCCTGGGATGGAGGGGTTGTCATACGAGGAGAGGTTAAGATCTCTGAAGTTGTTTTCAATTGAAAAATTAAGAGTTAGAGGAGATCTGATTGAGGTGTTTAACATTGTTAAGGGAATTTATAGTGTTGATGCATCATCTTTTTTCATACTTAATGGTGAGAATAGTAGGACAGGGAAGCACAAATATAAATTTTGGCAAGGTAGGAGTCATCTTCAACTATGACAGTTCAATTTTTCTAATGGGGTGGATGGCCTTCAAATGTTGTGGAGGCAGTAAATTTAAGTGAGTTTAAGAGAAAGTTTGATAACTATATGAATGATAAGGGCTGGCTTTGAGTATTTTATTTAATAGTTTGTTTAGTTTAGAGGATGGGACAGCCTAGATGGACCATTAGATCCGTGGTTGTCCGTAAACATTACATTATTACTTTATGTGCAATTGACACCTGAAATGTGCTCAGTGGCCCAGAAAGGGATATTGTGTTTATAATAACATTACGTTATTACTTTATGTGTAATTGACACCTGAAATGTGCTCAGTGGCCCAGAAAGGGATATCGTGTAGGTTCTGTACAAATTTCAGATGCAAAGTATACACAATTTTTTTCTTTTACAAGATCATTTCAAACAATCCTTAACCAGTAACTTACCAGTAAGTCCAACTTTTTTACGACACAGTTGACACCGATTTTTCTTCTTTTTATGATCTTTTGGAGTAGATTCCTCAGATTGGGCTGTGTCTGAAACAAAAGTGTCACTGGAAACAGAAGTTTCTTCAGATCCTATATCTTGGCTGCCAGATGGTTGTGGCTAAAACAAGCATGTTTAATTTATTATACAAAAGAAAAATGGAACTAAGCAAAAGTGCACAACTCGTTTTTATGGACATTTAACAAAGATTAACAGTAACAGGTTATTAATAACTTCACTGAAGTATTTAAATATGGTTTTTTTTGGCATGTCAACATACATTTCACCCCATTCTCTAATTGTTCAGACACCGACTCTAGGTTTATCAAAATTTCTACATAAAAATTATATTCACTTTAAAACATCGAGCTAAATAAACACTGACTCGTAGTTTCAAGTAATCTTGCAAGTTTGAGAAGTTAAATCTACCATAAAATCTCAACCGACATAAATAGATTTAAGCCATATTATCACCTGAAGGATCTGACTGTTCTAAAGTAAATTGTAACATAAAACATAATTATCTTCTTCGGAAATTTTATCATGACTGTATATTTAACAGCACGATTTTCGTTTGTAATGCTAACTTCACAGGTAGGTAAGCAAAAAAAAAAACACTCATTACATGCCAACCAGCTTTAGAGGTTTCATTTTAAAAAGGACCTTTAGTTTGTGATATTTGAGGATTTGTTTGTGTATAATTATTTATTCAGCAAAACAAAAACAACCCTTTCTGGTTTGTAATGCAAAGCAGGTTCCTTTTGATTTATAAGGAGAACAAATTATACGAGTGATTAGAATACCAGGTTTGAGTCTCTTTTTTGCTTTAATTAAAATACTAGTGATTCTCATTACAAACTTAATATAACGGAGAAATGTTTAAAATCAAATATTTCATTCATTGTTACATTTAGAGTTAAAAATCATTAAAGTTACTTATTTCAGAATGTCAATCGTAAATGGATGTAATAAATCCAACATACACCAATTCCACTAGTTTTTAATGAGTACTATTTTCCTACCATTGTTGTTTAACAATACAAGTGCATTTATTTAAGTTTTTATTACTGTTGCCTCTAGATGGAGACACATCAGTAGCACAGACACCTGGGAAAAGCTAAACTCTGAGTGTAGAAAAATTCACATTATCAATTCCCTAGAACACAATGTCAAGAAAAAATATTATTTACATGAAGCAAACAAGCACAAAACTAATATGATGTTCCACATTAATAAATTTAGTAATAAGAAAAATTAGTAAAAGTATCTTAAAAAATAGTACAAATGTGTGTGTGAATGACTCTACTTGAATATATACAGCATCTAATTTCTACATATAAAAAAATGTGCACATGTCTATGTAGTGATATGTTGCCACAGATGCAAGCTGTGGTGCCAAACAACACACTCAACTCCTATACATTTGGTTCACAGTGAATTCTTGACCATTCAAGTTAGCAACAACACCACATGTACACTTATACGCCGAAGATAATGTCACGTCCCTCTCTGTAATGCAATAATGCTGGACAAGATAGAGCCAAAGGACTCAGTATTTTATAGAAGCTATCAATTTTAATGTACTTCACAGGACAGTCACAGGCTTCAAAATCATACCCCAAGCCAATAGAAAGAAACTAACCTTATTTACAAAATGAACACAATATGGTTATGAAAGACAAACTTTGAACCAAAGAGGGCATTGCTGTGAAGCTAGGTATATCTCCTGGTATCAGTAACAATATAGTAAACAAGGATCTAAAGTTGACAAAAGCTCACAAGCTTCCAGCCATACCTTGAAATCAATGTCTATTTTCACAAGAAAGATTTCTGCAGAAACTGGAATTACAAAAACCTGTCAAGTCCTTCCCTCTCCATCATATTTAGTATTCTGACATACTGTTCAACATAAGGTATGATATGAAGGTTTCCCTTAGCAACATTAACATTTTCAAGCCATTCTTTAGTCTGCTTAAACATAGTTTAAAAGTTGACATCCTCATACAAGAGGTACAGCTGACATTGTGTGGCTTAGACTGACCTTGCCATAATTTGAAAAGAAGCTTGTTACAATAGAAATTGCAGCATTAAACAATAGTGCATAATCAGAGCTATCATACTTGGTATTATTAATGATGAAGAAAGTAGTTCCAAGGACAGAAGCAATTTGGAATACTGTTCTCAAAGTATAATTAACTTTCAATGATTCAAAACATGTAACTCCAACAATGCTCCCTCTAAAAATAAATTTTTGAGTAAGTAATTTTATGATTAAACATATTATTTGTTGTTGTTTTTTAATTTTTAAGATATTATTTGTAAACTAAAGAAATTTAGTGTCGTTTCTACTTCTTTGCCATTTTAATGGATAAGATAAAAGACAACAAAGTTTGCTGATTAAGCCTAAAAACTATCAATTTGTCTCCAAAACGACAATTCCTTGATAAGTCAACATAAGATTACCGTATTGGGCAACCTCCATTTTTCAGAAACCATGGGAAAGAAAAAAAATTTGAGTGCCATAACATCCCTTTTTAGGTTCACAGAATCGATACTATAACTAAACAGCCTGCAGGTGGATTAGTTGCAAGAATTAGTGATGACCTTGAGTGAACATCTGGTGTGCATGCGTAGACTGATGCTATCTGGACATTCAGGAATGCGACAGGCTAGAGTAGGAGGAAGGGGCCTGTGGTCGGCCGCAATTATAAGGTGACTATTAAATTTTACAGCCTAATTATTAATCAAAAAACATCGCCTTATAATTGGACAAGTACAATATTAATAATAAAAATCCTGTGAGCTAAAGCATATATATATACAGGGTTCATTGTTTTTCAGATTAAATTTCACAAACCTTTCAATGGTCTTCAAGGATCATTTTACAATTTTCAATGATAATAACTAATGATAAAATTGTAAAAATAAGGATTTTACACTTACTTAACTGTATAATAACATAATAGTAAAAATCAAAAATTATAATCACTTTTCATTCTAAATAATCTCTGGACCAGTAAACTTTCTTAATAATAATAAGTCAGTTTTGGTTCAAGTAGTTAAAGAAATTTATTCTAAAAGCAGTACATCAAGTCAGTGTTTTGATCAATGACGCATACAATAGACCAAGAATTTGGAAAATCAAGTTACAGTTCAGCAATGGAAACAAAACACTTAAAACAGTGCACCACACTTGATCTTCAACAAAATGTGCAAAACAAACAGTTCATTCTAATAATATGCTATACTGTCCACAAACAATTTAATGAACTGTACTGAAGGCATTCCTTTAGTTTTACTTCTAGTTCTGCCTCACAAATTTAATTATTTTTTTGCTTGGTAGTTCTCATACTATTTAATTGCATCAGCTTCTTCGGCATATCTGCCTGCTGATTCTAAGAGGAGTTGCACATCTTCTTTCACTTTGCTTTTTTTTTGCCCTGATCCTTGAAAACTCCTCCATCAAGGATTTTTCTTTACAATTTTTCTAGTGAGCCTCTTTTCCTCTGCACTGACCCCCTCTAGGTATGATTATTACTTCTGCTAGCACCTGCTGATAAAAGCAGCAGCTCTTTGGAATAACAACTGATGTTAAACATACCTCCCATACTACAAATCTGATCGTTAATAACATCAAGGGGCTGCTCAGCAAAATTTTCTACCATCATTTCTTTGTTCACTGAAAAACCATGCTCAACTGTTGCCTGTCCATGTGACAGGAAGAGCTCAATCTTTTATAATCTCCTAAGATGTCTGAACTTATCTTTGTTGGCCAAGTAGTCATGGAAGTATGTATTTAATCTCTCATACTCTGGCCTGAATCTACTGAAAGAAGACAGAACTACAGAGAGAGAGAAACACTATAAAAATGGTTAAATTCCTTCAAAACTTCATCAAAGCTGCTTTCTGAGACACAGTCTGTAGCCATAGTTCAGTTTTCTAATACATGCTTATCTGCCAGAGTTGAGGATCCTAGGTTCAAGAAAGTTGAAGTTTCTCACAAGAAAGTAATTAAAAGGAGATTTTTTCTAGCTAGGTACGATCTTCAGCAGGAAAACTTGAAGTTGCATCTGAGTGCAAATAACCATTTGTCTCTGATTCACTTCATTCATTTGCACTCCACCCAAATTCTTTCAGTAACAAAACTAACCTTCAATTTCAATACATCAATGTAGTTATTTGAGTTTTGGATGTCAATTTTCAAAATTTTTGATGCTGATGCAACAGCTTTCATTATTTCAGGCTTGATGAGCCTTTCATGGCATTTTTGATCAAAGAAGTCATGTCACTAGAGAAAAATGGCAGTGTGAAGAATGGTTTGATTTCTCTAGAAATCTTTAAAAAAAAAGTATAGCTTGGCTGTGAATTAAACATCTTGAAAAACTGTCTGGAAATAATTAAATGATTTGTTGTTTGACTTTTCAAGTTGTTCAGACTTTAGTGTAGTGACATACTGTTCAACATAAGGTATGATATGAAAGCTTTCCTCAGCAACAACAACATTTTCAAGCCACTCATGTCTTCAGAAATCCAGAAGAAAGTTGTGCAACTTTTCACAGTTATGAAGTCTTCACAATGAGCCAGTGAATCTTTAAAAACAATAATAACAGATTGAAAGGGCATGGTCAACTTCTCAACCTACAGCTGCACATTCATCTCTCAATAATTTATGTATGTAGGCCACAGCTCTCCACATTTAAGAAGTTCTTATTTGTTCTTTAGTTTTCTTGAATCACGGAGTACAGCTACCAATTAACTCTTTCGGCACGGGCTTGGTCTCTGGGACTGACCTCATAACTTGTTATAGTTTTCATGCTATAACTT